TTTGTAATCGGCGCCTTGCGCGTTCGTTGAATGCACGCGGCACGCGCCCCAAGGCCCGCCAGCCAATCAGCACGTGCATGTTTTAGACCCTGGCAGGTGCGCCTCTGTAATCTGGGTCGTGCCGGAATCCGTGAGACCGATGCATCGCAATGATCACTGGTATTGCCGGTATGTACAAAAGACCGTTGCACAAGGACCTGGTTGGCAAAGAGAGTAGCGTCTGCTAGAAAAGAGTGGTAGAAAAGAGAAGGCGTTAAATGAGAGTTGGACTTGAGGACTAAGAAACTTTGGCCTGGCAACAGCTTGTCTAGAAACAAAGGACATTTTTAAATGTCGTGTGAAAATTTAACATATGAAGATATTGTGTGATTTGTATGGCAAAAATGCATGCAAAAGAATATTAAGAAAATTGAGGGGGGAGGGGGGGGGGCAAGGTGTCCATTAGAGTGGCTTAAGGAGTGATGTTGTTGTTGCCATTATTGCCTATGATACACAATGAAGTAATCCGTACACCATTTCAAGATAGAGAACATGTACACAAGAACATGTACACGTGGTTGACCTGAAGTGAACAGTTTCCTTGCTATACTTGTCACGGTCTATATCTATTGTCTTCTTCTTCTTCTTATATTTGAGGGGCCCACGATCAATTTGTTGATCATTCCGGCTCCTGGATTAAATTCAGAGTTTGCCTTCTCTTAGTTTGGGTGGTATCAGAACTGGTTTATCCTTCGAATGTCTAAGTAACTTGACCATGTTGTTTTTTCAAATATTTTAATCAAATAGTAGTACAATTTATTTGAATGGCTGCAAATTTGATCTTCTTGTTATGTGCTGGGGTTTAGACTCTTAATCTCAAGTCCCACCATAACTGAGACATGTTCTTTGAGGGGTAAGCGTGCCGAGGTCAACAAGGTTCAATGAACCGTGGTCCAGCACGGGCCACCAATGTTTGTAACTTTGTTCGCTCGTGCGTGAAAGACTTTCAGTGAAAGAAAAGGGGCAGAAAACATTGTCCATTGAAGCAGAGTCGGATGAAACGAAGGGCGTCTCTACAACGTGAGGGAGGGTGTATGTTAGATAGGGTGTATGTGAGGGAGGGTGTACGTGACGTAAGATGTAATTGTGATAGGGTGTATGTGAGGTAAGGTTTATGTGAAAAAGGGTGTATCTGAGGTAAGATAAAATATCATTTAAACTCGCAATCCAGACTTTGTACATTTCTATTAGTTAAAAATATTTAGCATGTTCCTTCGTCCTAAAGGTTTAGAGTTTAGATCAACTGCACACAAAGGAAAAAATATAAGGCATGTTGGGGGTGGGCGGAGGGGGGGGGAGGTTACGAGAGGGCAACTTAAAATAATTCATTTGAGGGAGAGTCAGGTTCCTATTATCAACGGGTGCTCTTTTTTAACAATATCCCCCCCCCCTTTTTAACCATTAACCATACTATTACTTGGCTTGGACTGTCTAAGTGGTATCTGTCTTAAAAATAGTCTAAGTGGTATCTGTCCTAAAAACAGTCTAAGTGGTATCTGTCCTAAAAACAGTCTAAGTGGTATCTGTCCTAAAACAGTCTAAGTGGTATCTGTCCTAAAAACAGTCTAAGTGGTATCTGTCCTAAAAACAGTCTAAGTGGTATCTGTCCTAAAAACAGTCTAAGTGGTATCTGTCCTAACAAAAGTCTAAGTGGTATGTATCCTAAGAAAAGTCTATGTGGTATCTGTCCTAAGAAAAGTCTATGTGGTATCTGTCCTAACAAAAGTATAAGTGGTATCTGTCCTAACAAAAGTCTAAATGCTCTCTGCTGACAACTGACACTACCCAATTAGCAATGCTGATGACAACTAAATATAATTGACTAAAAGAAAAATGTATCAGATAGAACTTGCGTGACTCGACTGAATCTTCTTGTATCTTGATGGAAGAAAGCAGATGATGTTTAGAAAGGTTTCTTCCATATAACGGGGGGGGGGGGTGTAAATTATCATGAACCTTTGTACAAAAGTGACGTAAGTTAATCCAGCCTGCCGATCATTGCAGATTAGTTTGCAAACCCAAGACCCCCATCAACGGGGGGGGGGGGTGTAAATTATCATGAACCTTTGTACAAAAGTGACGTAAGTTAGTCCAGCCTGCCGATCATTGCAGATTAGATTGCAAACCCAAGACCCCCATCATGACACTTCTCTCCATCGGCCACTCCAAAAGAAGGTATACCCAGAACCCCAAGCACAGAGTTCGCCCTCTCCAGCAAGGAGGGTCTCACTAAGGACTGCCACGTCTACCATTGACCTGGCTAGTTCTTTTTATTGCGAGGTCTTTTCTCCTCTGAGTTCTGTTCTCCACCGAGGTCTTTTCTTTTCTGAGATTTGACTCCTCTGAGATCTGTTCTCCTCTGAGATCTGTTCTCCTCTGAGATCTGTTCTCCTCTGAGATCTGTTCTCCTCTGAGATTTGTTATAATCTGAGTTCTGCTCTCCGCGGAGGTCTGTTATCCTCTGAGATCTCTTCTCCTTTGAGGTCTGTCCTCCTCTGAGGTCTTTTCTCCTCCGATTTATGGTCTCCTTTGAGATCTGTTCTTATCTGACCAAAGCAAATACATATATCCAACAAATCAAAGATACAACACAAAGATACAACACAAAGATACTACACAAAGATACAACACAGAGATACAACACAGAGATACAACACAGAGATACAACACAGAGATACAACACAGAGATACAACACAGAGATACAACACAGAGATACAACACAAAGATACAACACAAAGATACAAAACAAAGATACAACACAAGATACAACACAAAGATACAACACAAGATACAACACAAGATACAACACAAAGATACAACACAAAGATACAACACAAAGATACAACACAAAGATACAACACAAAGATACAACACAAAGATACAATACAAAGATACAACACAAAGATACAACACAAAGATACAACACAAAGGTACAATACAAAGGTACAACACAAAGATACAACACAAAGATACAACACAAAGATACAACACAAAGATACAACACAAAGATACAACACAAAGATACAACACAAAGATACAACACAAAGATACAACACAAAGGTACAACACAAAGATACAACACAAAGATACAACCATAATATGATAAATCCGAATGGGATAAATAATTACGCCACACTAATTATTGATATTTTATTGACAGGTCGAAGCAAAATGGCAGGTGATAAATGTGTGGTGATCATTAAACAAGTTTAAGCCAGAGACTCTCCGTATGTATTACAGATACAGATAGTATTTGTTATCAATAGATATCTTAACAAATGTTGCCATAGTGACACGAGAGATAAATCAGAGCTCAAAGTTGCCGACGGCATTTATGAATGACAAATGTAGGTGATCGTCACTTCCAGACAAACAAATGTTACTGCCGTACACACACATACTGGTTGATATCAACATTCAAAATCATTCATCAAATTAAACGTTCCATCAGTTACATGAGGTCTTCAAAAGTCTGTCGTGAGACCAAATTAAACGTGCCATCAGTTACATGAGGTCTTCAAAAGTCTGTCGTGAGACCAAATTAAACATGCCATCAGTTACATGAGGTCTTCAAAAGTCTGTCGTGAGACCAAATTAAACATGCCATCAGTTACATGAGGTCTTCAAAAGTCTGTCGTGAGACCAAATTAAACGTTCCATCAGTTACATGAGGTCTTCAAAAGTCTGTCGTGAGACCAAATTAAACGTGCCATCAGTTACATGAGGTCTTCAAAAGTCTGTCGTGAGACCAAATTAAATGTGCCACCATCTGCATAAGGTCTTCAATCGATGAATCCGCATCGTGGAGTGGTCGTACCGTGGAGTGGTCGTACCGTGGAGTGGTCGCATCGTGGAGTGGTCGTACCGTGGAGTGGTCGTACCGTGGAGTGGTCGTTCCGGGTACTGTTGTGATACGCCTGTGGGGTGACCAAACTTCTCCTTTGTCCTCTAAAGGCCATCTTTGCTGGAAGACTAAATGAATGGTGACAATATCACACTTGATTTTTTTAAAATTCTATGAAAAACAAGATCAACAAAAACAAAAAAAAGGTTCAATTTCCCATCAAGTTTTCACCAATTCTTCGTGTAGTTAAAAGTGAAAACTTGCAACAGATTCACTTGTCACGCCATCTTTTTCCGCAACAAATACCGGATTATCATTCCCGTCAGCCATAGCTCTGGTTTCCGACTTGGCCCCAAAGGTTACCATTTTAACAGAGAGCAGTTTCTCACTCGAACCATTCCTGCTCCCTTTCTTGTGCACATATCTGAGATGTCTTGGCGGTGGTACCAGACCAACGTCATCTCCGAGATGTCTCGGCATTGGCGCTGTATCATCATCTCTGAGATGTCTTGGCGGTGTCCCTGTATAATTTTTATCTCTGAGATGTCTTGGCGGTGGCACCAGAGCACCGTTATCTCTGAGATGTCGTGGCGGTGGCACCGTACTGTCGTTTTTATATTGGAGACCATTAATCCTTTGACCAATAACGTCACTATCGGTAATTGGTGGGGGAGGAGCTGGGTACTTTTTGGGCGAAATGCCGCGACGACTGTCTGCGCTGTGTGACAGGTTTTGTCGAGCTGTGTCGTCATCTGTCAATGTCGTCTGCTTGTCTTGTTTTTTCCTGTAGCCCAACAACCCGACCACGAACCCATACCTTCCAGGCTTGGGAGATGACGCAGACTTTTCTTGTTCATTCCGAAGAGGACGGGATCGCCTGCCTGGTTGCAACCCACCCACACAGAGTTCAGTGTCCGTGCTCGTGGCCTTGTCAAGGTAATCGCGACCTGGTGAGGATCCACAACTAGTAGCTGTTGTGAAGGACGTGTGATTTGTGAGATCCACATTCGAATACTCAATGTCATAGGGATTGCTGTAGGAATCCTCTGCTAATCGATTCTCTGTCATTTCAAGATTGTTGTACATCGACAAATGCATCTGTATTCGTGCGTCCGATGCCGATTTGAAGAAAAAGTTCGGCGGTTCCATGAAATTGATCCTTTTGTTAATTTTTTTATAATAAAATTCTTTGACTAGTATGACGACTCCAGTTGCAATCAAAGCCACGCATACACATACTGCAGTTGTTATGACAGCTACTTCTCCTGCACCACGTGATGATTTAGGGGCAGGTTGATCCATCTTTTGCCAATGTGTTATATTAAACAGGATCTTGTTACCTTCTGGTCCTAAATGAAAATGAGATGGTTCACCTTTTCCTAATATGAAGTTTTCTAGATTTGTTATTAGCAAAGAGCTTATTGTATCTTTAAAATTGACAACGATTGTGTTATGAACGCATTGGGGATCCTCAATTGAAATATGTGTTATGTTTATGTTGTGTGACAGCTTGGTGAAAAGCTCACAGATCTTGAGTTTAAGCTCTTCGATGTATGGAGAATGGGTCAAGGACGTGCAATCGCTGGTCGTAAATGTAAATAAAATGTATAGGTTGCTAGGTGACGTTGGCGTAGTTAAGTTAGTGACGTTGTTTTCGTCCAGTGATACCATCATCGTGCTGGTCGTATAAGGGGATGTATGTGGCCTAGAGGGCTCAACCGTCCACATCGGCTGGCTCAATGTTGAGGAGGAGGAGGTAGTTGGATCAGCTCGGTCCGTTAATGCTGGTGAAGACGCACTCATTGTTTGAAATGCTGTAATGTTAGTAGAATGAGTTTGGATATTGGAGTCAGAATAGACTAGGGTATGTGCGTTTGTGTTGATGGATTCGGGAGTCACTGCGGCTGACGCATCAGTTAGGCTTATCAAAGATCCCTGGATGACTGATGAAACAGAATTAAACTGTTCAAGTGAATGAGAGTCACTGTTAAGAGACAACAGAGTCATAGACTCTACTGACGCAATAACTTCACTGTCAGAGCGTGAAGAAAATATGGAGGATTCCGTCGGAGTTACTGATCTTGACCACTGAAAATGGAAACTGTCCGATGACGTGGACACTCTAGAGGGGCTCACCGATGACGTCATCTCGTACAGCCGTGAGCTAGAGTCACGGTGGATCTGCTCACCTAGAGAGTGGAAGCTTTGGTGACCTTGAACTTCAGTTAGCCGGGTTGGTAGTATGTCATATATAGTAGGCGATTTTATATTACCGTAACCAGAGCTATACGGCAAGGTATCGCCAAGATGGTAACTGACTGTACTGGTGTGCGGTGTCAAGGTATCGCCAGGATGGTAACTGACTGTACTAGTGTGCGGTGTCAACTCAAATGATAATTTAGTAGTGGGAGTTGCTGTGGGATGTGTTTGAAATGTTGACTTCGAAGTAGATATCAAGATTTCACCAGACTGTGTAACCAAGGAGCTGTTAACTGACGTTAGTCTAGAAGTTTCTAATGTAGACACGAATTTCAGTTGTGAAGAAGTCTGAATTTGAGGCGATGTTGTGATTATTTGACTTGCTGAGGCCAGTCTCTCAGAGTTTGAGAACTCAACTGGGTGTGTGGTCCTAGTTGCGTCACTTCCTTGAAAACTAGTGTATTCCAACGACCCGAAATGGCGACTCGACCAATCAGAGCTTACAAAGCTGGAGATGATGGACTGATGAGGTGACGAACTTGGGGAGATGGACTGATGAGATGACGAACTTGGGGAGATGGACTGATGAGATGACGAACTTGGGGAGATGGACTGATGAGATGACGAACTTGGGGAGATGGACTGATGAGATGACGAACTTGGGGAGATGGACTGATGAGATGACGAACTTGGGGAGATGGACTGATGAGATGACGAACTTTGGGAGATGGACTGATGAGATGACGAACTTTGGGAGATGGACTGATGAGATGATGAACTTGGGGAGATGGACTTACTACCTACTTGCTGGGCAGTTGAGTTTGTTCTAAAAGTGGGGTCTGTTATTGTGTTTGGGGCGATGCTTGTTGTTAAAAGGCTGGGGACTTCAGCTGTGGTTGTGTTAGTGGGTACATCAGCTGTTGTTGTGTTAGTGGGTACATCAGCTGTTGTTGTGGTAGTGGGTACATCAGCTGTTGTTGTGTTAGTGGGTACATCAGCTGTTGTTGCGGTAGTGGTTACATTAGCTGTTGCTGTGTTAGTAGGTACATCAGCTGTTGATGTGGTAGTGGGTACATTAGCTGTTGTTGCGGTAGTGGGTACATTAGCTGTTGTTGTGTTAGTGGATGCATCAGCTGTTGTTGTGGTAGTGGGTACATTAGCTGTTGTTGTGGTAGTGGGTACATTAGCTGTTGTTGTGTTAGTGGGTACATCAGCTGTTGTTGTGTTAGTGGGTACATTAGCTGTTGTTGTGGTAGTGGGTACGTTAGTTGTTGTTGTGGTAGTGGGTACATTAGCTGTTGTTGTGTTAGTGGGTACATCAGCTGTTGTTGTGGTAGTGGGTACATTAGCTGTTGTTGGGTTAGTGGGTACATTAGCTGTTGTTGGGTTACTGGGTACATTAGCTGTTGTTGTGGTAGTGGGTACATTAGCTGTCGTTAGGGTAGTGGGTACATTAGCTGTCGTTAGGGTAGTGGATACATTAGCTGTCGTTAGGGTAGTGGATACTTCAATTGTTGTTGTGGTTTCTTGAGTTGTTGTCGTGGTAGTAGGTACTTCAGATGTTGTTGTGATAGTAGGTACTTCAGTTGGTGTCGTGGTAGGAAGTAATTCAGATGCTGTCGTGTTAGTGAGTACATCAGCTGCTGTTGTGGTAGTGGGTACTTCATTTGTTGTTGTTGTGGTGGTGCGCACTTCAGTTGTTGTTGTGGCAGAAGATACTTCAGGTTTTGTTGTAGTTCTAGGTACCTCAGGTGTTGTTGTGGTAGTAGGTACTTCAGCTGGTGTTGTGGTTATAGGTATTTCAGTTGTTGTTGTGCTACTGGGTACATCAGCTGCCGTTGTGGTAGTGGGTGCATGAGCTGTTGTTGTTGGTTCTTGAGTTGTTTTTGTTGTGGTAGTAGGTACTTCAGTTTTTGTTGTTGATTCTTGAGTTGTTGTTGTGGTAGTAGTTACTTCAGTTGTTGTTGTGGTAGTAGGAATTTCAGTTGTGGTTGCAGGTGCTTCAGTTATAGATGTGGTTGCAGGTGCTTCAGTTGTAGATGTGGTTGCAGGTGCTTCAGTTGTAGATGTGGTTGCAGGTACTTCAGTTGTAGATGTGGTTGCAGGTGCTTCAGTTGTAGATGTGGTTGCAGGTACTTCAGTTGTAGATGTGGTTGCAGTTACTTCAGTTGTAGATGTGGTTGCAGGTGCTTCAGTTGTAGATGTGGTTGCAGGTGCTTCAGTTGTAGATGTGGTTGCAGGTGCTTCAGTTGTAGATGTGGTTGCAGGTACTTCAGTTGTAGATGTGGTTGCAGGTGCTTCAGTTGCTGATGTGGTCTCAGGTGCTTCAGTTGTAGATGTGGTTGCAAGTGCTTCAGTTGCTGATGTGGTAGCGACGGTTTCTGCTGCTGTTGTAGTGAGTCCTGCCTGTTCGGTGGTAATGTCATTGTCCCCATCATTACCTGCCACCAGCAATCCATCACGATGTGACCTACCTTCACTTTCTTCACTATGTGTTGATCTCAAAGTTGATTCTTCGTGCGTTGTTGCGGTTGATGTGAGTTCTTCATGCGTGGGAACAGTCTCATTATCGTGGTGGTTGAGTGTGGCTGCCACGCCCATGCCATGTTCTGGGAGTGTAGCAGCATCATTGTCTAAGGGCTCATGATCTAGTGACCTTCTTTGACGTGCTGCCCCCTTATGAAGACCAGTACTCCAAAGATGATGTCGGTAATGTTGTGCATTGATTTCATCGACCTTGACCTCTGCGTTACCATACTTTTTCGTGGTATCATCGAAACGGTCTAACCGCACACTCGCAAGGAATGAGAGGTCAGACCTTACAGATTGAAAAGGCGTAGCCTGCTGTTGTTCTCCTTTAATAGTGTTCACATCCGGGTCTTGTTTGCACACCCTGAATTCGCTTTGAAGTAGAACCACTGCGGAGAAATTATGAAATTAACATGGGCTTTATTCAATGTCAAATGAAATACAGTTACCTTTGAATACAAATATCTCTGAGATAAATATGCCTACACTAAAAGTAATAACCTAGCCAAATCAAAAACACTTAGGACAACAATAGTTAATGTTAAAGGTTTGCAACAATTGTTAATGATGCAGGTTTGCAACAATTTTTAAGGTGACCTCTGCATGTTTTACAACGTTACAACTTGAAAAAGTGATAAATTCCCTTCTGGAGGAACCCCATCCAAACATTTACAAGAAATAAACCAGTAAAAATGGTTACCTATCTAAAACTGTTGTTTGATAGTTTTTTCTAATTTTAACAAGCTAATGTCTGCACATTAGATGGTCCTGGAAACACACTCTAATAGGTTAAAATAAAAGAGGAGTGAGTCAGCATGAGATTATAGATCCAGTGGAACGCTGGCCGGAAAAAAAGTTTGAGAACCAATGACAGAAACTACAAAAACATTAAAAAGAACTCATTCGACTTTAAAAATGTACGAGAAATTTTAAGCACATGATCACACATAAAAAAAAAAAATCTGAAGAAATATCAGGTATAAATTTCATTTCTTGAAAAATTACAATTACGTTTCTCTACAGTCTTTCCTTCAACAGAATTACATCTATTTTTAGATCATTGTTTGAAGGCAAATGACACACAAATTTCAAGTTCACAATCCTAACATCATCCTAACGTCAAACTAACATCATCCTAACGTCAAACTAACATTATCTTAACATAATCCTAACGTCAACCTAGCATCACCCTAACATCATCCTAATGTCAACATAACATCACCCTAACATCATCCTAATGTCAACATAAAATCATCCAATCCAAACCTAGCATCATCCTAATATCATCCTCACATCAACCTAACATCAACCTAACATCAACCTAATGTCACGGTCAGATCGCGTGAGTTTTTTGTGTCAACTTCTATAATGTTAATTTGACCAATCGTGGGTGAGTTTATTTTCCTCGTGTGCCCCACGAGTTTTGATTTTTCTCGGTCAAGGTATGACCGGTGTGCTGTGTCGGGGAAAAATCACGTGTGTGAGTTGAGTTTTTAAGGAGTGAGCAGTGGCGAGTGCTGTGGATAGGGTGTATGATTTTTTGTCTTGTGAAAGGCAGTGAGTTTTTCTACGGATGGAAGAGGACTTGTGTAACTTTAACTGTTTTGTGTAGTGGCATATAGACACACATAGCCAATAAATAAGAAAACCTGAAACCCTGAATTGTTTGTTGATACTTGGAACAAGAGTCAGTTCTGTAAGAGCTGGAAATAAAGGGGTTCTAGACCCTTGAAAAATTGTTCTGTGGCTAGTACAGAGGGGACCGACCCCTAGACAACGTACGTCACGTCACTGTGGGGGCCCGTCGAAGCAGCCATATCATCCAACCATCCATCACAGTGGATTAACCATACACATCTATCATTCGCCATCGTTCCGGCACAGTAAAGCAACCATCCAAGCCTACCATCAGCCACAAGGAAGGCCGTTCGATGCAGCCATATCAACCCTAACCATCCACCACAGTGGAGCAGCCATCTAAGCGCGCAATTAGCCACCGTGGGAGCACGATCCAACCATACCAGCTCATCATTCGGTACGTGGTTCAAAGGTTCATCTAAGTCCAAACAAACCATACCAGACCATACTGCACAGTGGAGGCCGTTAAAGCAAAATCATATCGTCCAAAGAACCCTACCAGCCTACCATTCATCACAGAGAGGGCCTGACCAACCAGACACACCAGCTCTTCGAAACAATCATCACGGCCATACCAGTCCAGAGGAAAGCCGTGCAAACCAACCATACAGCTATACCAACCTTAACTTTTAGTGACATTGGATTATTGGAGACACCAGACATTCCAACCCTATCTACCTACAAGAATACAAATGAACACATGGATTATACTTCTCAATACGTACGAAATCCCAGTGCCACCCATCAAGAGAACCATCACAAGTAATTATTTTAAGTACATTATTTAGTTATTAGATTTGCAATTTCTATTGTTTTATTACTCATTTCATTTGATCCATTTCCTATTTGTAAATTTTGTGTAAACAT